CAAAAGGCTCCAGATTCCCTTGTGTGAGAGGCTCTTGGAGATCTGCACAAAGGGAACGTGCAGAGATCAGACTCAAAGGTATCTGTTATTTTAAGGCACTGCAGAAACAGGGTCAAAACAAAAGCAGGGAGAAACTACTTTCACAGAAGTGTTTCTAAAGATTGGCTTCATCCTTCTCTCATGCTGATGTGTAAAGCTATACTTTATTCTCTCGAGTAGGAGCAGCCTGCCACTCATAGCTATCTAGCATGCAAGATGAAGCTTCTACCAACCCGAAAACACAGGGGAACCAAGTAGCAGAGACAGCTTCCCTGTTCTCCTTTTGTTTGGTTTGTGTTTCTCCTCCTACATACCACTTTAATAGTATCTGCTGGCCTCTGGTCTTTGCTGCAGAGCAAAACGAAGAAGAGACTGCAGAGCACAGAGCAGTAATGACAGTACCAGCTAAGACACAACAAGGCCTAGTGTTGGTTAAGAACCAGGTATAAGCCTAGTAGGCACCCTAAGCTGTGTTACTAGCTCTGGTTATCATATTTTCACTACTGTTTTTACAGCCAAGGTAGCTTAAAAATCGAGCAGTGCACGAGTTTGATACCCTGAACCAAGACAAGGAGGGAGATACTTGACTCCAAGGATTACAGCTTGCAAACAGAATGCCCAGCAATATTTTGCAAAGTATTTAAGCTATGAATTTAAAACATAGTTGTATTTTAACCAGAGCCTTGTGGAAGTTCATTTGCTATGAAAAAAACAATCCTACTTGAACGAGTCAATTTTTGCCAGTATGCCAATTTTTTTCCAACAAAAGCCAAAAAGGCTTTTTTAAAAGCCGTTCCATGTAACAGTTCACTAGAGATCTATGGAAAAAACAAACATATATTTCCCTATTAGAAGAAATTGCATTTAAATGCAATAGGAGAGTTGGGCTAATGATATGCAGAAAGATAGTTCATGCTTAGCACAATAGGCCTTAGCACAATGCTTTATTCTTTCAGCAAGGCCAGCTCTAAGTGAAAAGTAGAAGTCATAAGCAAGTACAGCATAAAAAACCCTAGGGCCTTGCTTGTGAAAAGATTTGCTCATTAAGGCTGTGTCTCATGCTGTGCTCAGGATAGATGATGGCCCACAGCTCAGTTACTGGTAGTTTGCAAGCGTTAAAGCAGGCATACAGACAACTACTGAGAACATACAGTATCTGCACATAGGAAAACACTCACTCTTCATGATTTCATTACTGCATGTTCACAGCTGGAACATGAATGCAACTTCATTCAAACAGTAGCAATAAGCTAGGCCTTAAAAACAAGTTGTATGTAAATGGATCTGGCTGGAATCAAGGTTCTAAGCAGGATAAAATTGTGCATAAAAAAAAAATCATATGCTATTGCAATTTCGATTTGGTATTTGTTTTGGCTAGTGCTTTAAAAACAAGTAAGTAATGCAGTATTTGTCTTAACAACAGTTCTGCTGTAATATGCTAACCCTGTAGTCCTCCCTCTGTCAATCAGTAGTCAAAAGCATCATATTTCATTAAAAATTTCAAAATAATCCAAGGAAGATTTTTTGTTCTATTTATTAATAGAAACGTGGCAATCCTAACAGCTAATAACTGGCCAGTACAAGTATGTTAACTATAATTACGAACAAAGCCCTAATTTAACACTTCAAATTTTGACTCCCTTTTTTACAGAATGGAAACTTGATGCTTCTCAAGGAAAAAAGAACAGAATAAAAACAAATCTGCATGGGTTTCTCAAGTCTTTTTCTGCAAGTAACAAATCACTCTTACATCTAAGACCAAATCCCGCATCCATTAAAGGTCAACAACTTCCTAGTTGAAAAATTAATTTATTGTCAATCAACTTTTAAAGCTGAGAACTGCAATTAAATCAATGGGAAACTACTTAAGTGCCCATGACACAATATGAACTATCAGCAATACGTGATATCTAATGTATGAGATGAAAGTAGATGAAATAGTATAGTTATTTGCAGTGATGTAATAAAATAGACTTCCATTGGCCCAAAGGAACAACTAGAGAAAACAGGGGCACTATTTCCTTGGTGTGTCTTTAGATTTACATAGACAAAGCTCCAAGTACTTTCTGAAGTAAGATGAAAGGCTGAATTATTTTCTACTTACAGGAGTATTGGACTGTTCGGTTAACTTCTGCTCCCACATCCTCAAACGTCGCTCCCGTTCCTTTAGCTCCTGCTCTTTAAAGCTCAGATCACGCTCCAGTTTCTTTAGTCTCTCTAAGGTTGCCTCAATTTCACATCTGCACGGAGACAATTTGTTACGTCTTGTCTTTTCCTGACAGATATAAATTGTTCATAATTCCCACTTGAATGTTAATTAAATGTGAAAGGCTGAGAAGTACAATACTAACTCAAGCAGTTCATTTAATTACCAAATGCAAAGCCTTTCAGAGCTTTAAGAACACTGCAATGTTTATACTTAAGAATAACCACAATACCTTCAGTTGAAGAAATACAACACTTATAAGTGTAAAATGCCATATAACAACAACGTTTTAAAAACTAAAACGCCATCTCTTCTCTCAACATGATGAAACATGATCTTATCCATGAAGAAACCGCATTAAGAACTGGTAACGGGACAATCATTAGCAACATCATACAGGCAGTCTAAGAAGCCCATTTGCCTGGGTTTTTAACTGTGCTATAAACATTATTTGGACTTACACTCAGAAGCAGGACTGGGGTGTTCTTCCCCACTTACCTTCCTATTTTTCTAGGTGAAGATATAAAAGCAAGAATATAAACCATGATACGACCCAGCCCTGCAGATGGTTATAAATACAAGCTTCTCAATTTAGAGACAGTTACTAGAAGGATTTTGTTTACTTTTCTCTGTTTCCCACCATACATTCAAAGCTGTGAAAAATAAGAAAGGCAGGAAGCAAAGGCAGTACTCTAAGAAGCTCCAGATTCCATCTTTGTTGGGGTGCACTATGTGTACCTCATCCCTTAAAAAAGTGGCTTCCTTTGACATGCTTTCTGATGGATAGTATCTTTTAAACATGAGATGAACTGCTTTTGGAAAAGCATTTAACAAGTTTTGCACCACAAATGCATGGGTTTGTACCGGAAGATACAGAAAAATAATTCTGTCTCTAAATTCAGCCACATTTTTTGCTTCTGGGATAACCAAAGAAAAACCTCCAACTGGTATGAGAGGTTGTATATGCATTTAACAAACGGTTTCTGTGACTGTTTGGGAGACTGTGCACTGCCTGCCACCTGTGTCCTGACTATTACTTCGACTGTTTCCTATTCACGTTGTGGGAACAATCACAGCATTTCATTTTCCCCCTAGAGAGAGCAAGCTTCTAAGGAAGACAGAGATCCTAAAGAGGTCTCTGAAGATAGCTATTGGGACTGTGCAATGTCAATCTTCTGCTCAAACTTTCACAACATTTTCCCTTCGTAAACACACTGCAAACAAAACCTGCTCCTTCTGATGTTTTCAAAACGAAAATAAAAGGACTAACAGAGTTAGTTGTCATTTTTATCCGGGGAAAAAAGAAGACAAAAGAAAAGAGAGAATTATTTCTTCCTGTAAATCTCCTGTCCTAGCATGTTATGATTAAGCTCTTCTCCAGTATCAATCTAAAGGAGTTTAGGCTCTCAATGTGGGGAAATGCATACCCAAATAACCTGTTTAAGGAAATGAAATAATTTAAATATTCCAAATCTTATAATTTGGTTCTTTTAATAAGATATCTCTGTCAGACAGTAATGCTTACAAAGTACAGTGAAAGGATTAAGAGCTGGAATAACTAGCAAACTCTACTGCAAACTCTACCACCATGCTTAATTCTACTGCAAAAATCAGCCACCTGGGGCAAGGGCATTTATCACACTTAAATCCTGCTGAGTGAGCTGTTCTATGTGGTGGTCAGAACAAACGTCCCTCACAATTATTATGCTTCAGATTTCAAGCAAAATTTTCTCTTGTATTTAGGCATGCAAAGGTCAAGGCTGATCTCTGTACTGGGCAGAAAGTGCTCACACATCCTAATAAAGAGACAAAAAAGGAATGAAACTAAAAAGCATTGGACAGAAGGTCAAAAAGTGACTCCTCTCCAAACATTAATTTCCCTATCATAAACCCTTTCTGTCAGGTGCAACATATACTATGCAATCTACTGTACGAACTACAGAGCAATTTGAGGATTGTTGCAAACGCTGCTTTTCCTAGTTTGTCTCTCAACATCACCGCTACTTATACGCAATTCTGTAATTTTTTAAATACGTAAATTAAGTTCTCTTTTAAATAACATTCTGCACTAGGAAAGTCCTGGTAACAATAGCTTTCTATATGTCAAAAGTCTATTTCATGCTGTAATTACCTCTCTTCATTAGACAGAAACTTCTCTTATAATAAAAGGTCAGTCTGCGAAAACAGTTGCATTCTGAAAAATAATGCCACTGTATAATAAAACTGTGTAATTAAAGAGAAAGCTACCGTACATTGCCCAGTTAATGAGTCTTACTTCATAAATGAAGCAGCTTGAAACATTATACATGGTAGGGCATGTGAATTTGTTTGCTGCTGTAGTTCTGCAGTCTGAGCTTACCGGCTTTTCTAGAACACTCTCATTCTGTGACACTGAAAAACATATACTGTATTATTAGAAACTACAGTGATAAACAGTCACAGATTAAAAACAATGACTGGCATTTGTTTGTATGTCTTGAACTGCTACTGATACACTAATATAAGTATTGCTAATAGACTGCTTTAATCATTAAAACAGCTGCTCACGGGGAGAGGATAGAAGGAGAAATGTAGTTGGTATATATGACTAAATGTGGACAAATGTGATCTCTCACTGAATTGGAACATCATTACTTCAGTAGTAATTTTTTCCTACTGTAATAAAAATGACTTGAGAAAGAGCTCCGAAAAGATCACAGAATATGAACTTAAACATAAGGCAGACCTGTGCAACTTGGTCGTTAAGACAGTGCCCCTATTAAATTAAACAATAAATATGTGAAGGGTAGAACAGTTCGGAAATAAGATACTGAATTATTTTAAGGAAATCACAGAACAGGCAGATTAAAATGTATTATTAACATAAACACCAAAACCAGTAAATGTTGCAAATAAGATCACATTAAAGATAGGTCATTTATCTTATCGCCTCAGTCAGTCACATATAGACTCAGCCCACACTCACTTTTCACGCCAGCCAGTCAGAGACGTTGAGGACTCTGGTTACTGGCTGTTACAGATGCATTCTTTTGCATGACTCTATACAAAAAGAACCTCACTTTGGCTTTTTTTTTAAGAGTGGGAAAAAATGTAATCCACCTTGTCTGAGCTTTGATTTGCTTTGATAAGTGCAGTATCCCTGTGAAAGTGCAGTATCTGGATCACTAATTTGGAGGTCCTTCAAAAGAACAAGTGTAACCTTTGCTTTTCCCAAGCCCACCCTTCTCCAGGGCTCTGATAGCCAAGATTCATTAAAATTCCCTATTTCTTGGTAGCACATCTCATTCTTTCCTTAGTGCTGGCACAACTATCTCTTTGCAAATCACTATGGGATAAAAAAATATATAAAAAAATAAAGCAATGAGTAAAAGCGAAGAATTTTCAATGCAGAAGTTAAAACACACTAAACTTCTGTGCAACTGTTCTCAGTAATGGTCTCAGTCTGCCTTAGTGTATCCCTTGGACCACTTTATCCTTACAAATCTTTCATCTACTTTAACTTGTACATTTTTTGCATACTTTCTGTTAATTTCACTTAACCTTCCTACAGCTTTCGCACCAAAGGAAGACAGCCATTACCAGAATTGAGGTGAATGCACCCCTCTTACCCAGCTTCTGAGCAAGTTCCCACACAACTTGTGCTCCTTTCGCACTTCATGTTTTCATTTCAGCTTAATTCAGAAATCATCTTTGCTTTCAGGCAAATCATGCCCCATCATGAATCTGTATTTTTTCTCTCATATTTCCTTGTCTCCAAGTTATTTATTCTTCCCAAAAAATTGCCAAATTTACCTTTAACACGAGTCTCCATGGAAAGTTTTTCCATGACTTGACAGTGCCAAAGAACTTTTTGTTTCTACATGGCTTTTTGTTATCACCTTGTTAGCCATTCCTCATCTGAGCAATTTAGGTGCATTAAAGTAAAATTTGCAAGAAATACTTGGCCTGAGTCACACTCCAAGAAATGAATCCATTTAGTAAAAGAACAGAAACTTAATGTTACCAAATGTCAACTAGCACAGCTTTTATTCTGCTCTATTGGCAAGATTTAAGTAGTTCCTTGTTTTTCCTAAAGGAATTTGAATACTTGCTCATCTTTTAAATAAATATTTTTAGTATATAGAAAAGGTATAAGAAACCCCTCACTGAGGGGGATATTTTTCTTCCAACCCTCCTTCTATCCCGTCTGCTACCAAAACCACAATATGATGTCCAGGGTCTGCATAAATAATGGTGTCCCAGAAACACGGTTTTGTACTTTATGTGTCCCAAGCCTCAGAATACGGATTTGGGGGCCGAGAGAGCATACCGACATATTGTAAAAGCAACGCCACGGATAAAACCACTGACAAAACCTGACAGCCGGGTAATGGCAACAGGGACCACTGAACAGAGCGTAGCGGGCCCCTCCGGGG